TGGGGGTGGGATAGAAGAGGTGTGGCCTAACAAAGACAATAAAGGATAGAAAGATACAAGAGATGATACTTTGCTGAATATCAACTGAATTAGGCTCCTCCGGCCCACAACATCAAGGAAGCAGTGCCTACTAATCTGCCAGTACTGTATATCAGAAGATATGCTCTTAGTGTAAGTGGAAAAGGGAGGGGTGACTGAGGTTCTTATAAACTAATCTGTAGAAATGTAGGTATTTTTTCTTCTTCAGAGGTTCCTGTTGTTGAGCATTTCTAAACCTGAGTATTTCTACTCAACCTTTAGCATGAACTCTTTACCCTCACAGCCGACCCTGGGATTTTCACTACCAAAAGAATCAGCAAAAAATCAAGGTTTTTTAAAACTCGTCACAAAGAAGAAAACCCCTCCAGGTCAGTCCTATGTTTCTTTACTGTACATATTATATATATATACACACACATATATATATATATATATATATATAATAATCAAATATCTCAATTTTTTGTGAAACAGTGCTCAATCCCACTGAAAAATCTATCTCTTATACACATCTAGATGTGTATAAGAGACAGATAATTGATTAATTAATTCTGTACAATTTCATGGGTTGTGTTTGCAAAATGAGATGAAATCTGCCTAGAACATATCTGCCTAGAAAAATAATCTATAATTTAAATCTGAAAAAAGAACCTGCTGATTTCAAACTTTTGTAATGTCCTATCAACTTCAATCACTTCTGTAGCTATGGCAATAAGGGTGGTCTTCTAGACTTAAAAATAAAAATAAAAGTACTGATATGATACAGGTCACACTTACTTCCAATCTGCTTATCAGTGACCTAATGGGTACCAAGTATGAATACCTGTACATCAAATGTGACTATACTGCAGGACAACAATAAAAGCAATAGTACCAATCAAAACAATAATGAAGCATGCAGGGCACGAGAAAAACATTGGCATCGTCATCCACAAACAACACATCAATATAGCAAGGCCTTTTCTGTTATTTTCTCCTCTGTTAAATGAATATTTACTCAAGATTAGATCTGCAACCATATTAATGTGACATGCTCGTCATTTTTCAACATGCTTATTTAGCAACTGTTTTTCCCGTACCCTTACATTCAATGTTCCAATTTCAGAATTCCATGATACATGGAGGGATATACACCCCACACACACATACACTCCCTTTACCCCCTCCCTCATGTTCATACCACACACACACACACAACACATGTAAAATTTAGAACAGTGGTGAACTTATTACCCACTTCACTGGCTTCTTATCCTTGTTTCATTTGTTTTTCCAAATTGCACTTGCATACTATCGACTTCCCAGACGTATTCCTATGCGTCTGGGCCGTGTCATCGTTATCATCATCTGCCTGGTTGAGGGAGACAGTGGTGCTCCTAACTGTACAGGATCCACAATCAAAAGGAATAAACATAAACCACTTAGTCTACTCCAATCACACGCATCGACCTTGATGTTAAACTTTAATTATTTTTTTTTACCCCAAGGAAAAAAAAAACCCACTGAGCGACGTAGCTCCAATTCTGCTGAGAGTAAGTGTTCATTCCCAGATCAATAACATTCAAAACGCACCACCCGTTTGGATCGATTCTGTCCATCGCGATGATGTTACTTGTACAAACCTCCCAAGCCGTCCGCTCTGAAGGACTCCTCGGTGGATTGATCAGTAACTGGGTCATTCTCAAGAAGCATCTGGAAATCCTCGCATTCCAGCGGGTCCAACTTTAATGTGTCTTCCGCAGAGAACAGCGCCTCCTGGTCGTAGCTTACCATTGCTGAATGAATGTCCTTTGCCATGTCCTGGGAATCTGTTACGCCTGTGAAAGAAACATATAAAATAATACTACTTAAACAATTAAAAAGTATGTTTGTACAGTACATGTAAACTTGTTTTGGCACAAGGAAAGGAAGCTTAAAAAACAAAAGGTCTGGCAGTCAACATCATAAAGCCTCATAATGGAACTTAATGCTTGAAAAAATTTCCTGAGGGCATTATTAGATATGTCTTATGTATATATAGGTGCACTTACCAGACAAAATAATTGATGGTATGTTGTTGACTTGAGGATACTGAGGGAAAGGCTGGTGGTAAGCTGGTGGCGGCACCTTGTTATGGTGGTATGGTTGCTGATTGCCAAAATAATTTTGATCAAGAAACATCCCCTGAAACTAGAAAAAAGGAAGTAGACACGTTCATCAAACTAAGTTGTAAAAAAAATTCTGGATAAATTGAGATTGTGTATCCAATACCTAGTGAAAAATAGGTGATCAGTATCCACTGGAAAAGGCCTTAGGCGCGATCGACAAATTATCCCAGACAGCAGAAACGCGTCTAGGTCAACATCCTAACATGAACGCGTCTGAGAAATCAACCATTCTAATTACCACGCTATATGAATATTCATTTGCTACACGCTTGAATTACGGCTCGCGTCTGGACGACGGTGAATCGTTTGGACGCTTGTGGATCGTTTGAATGATTTTCTATTGTTTTCTTATACGTACATGTGTCTATACTTTCTCTATGCTTATATGAAGATTTGTAAATTACATGATAACAACGTGCCTGGAGGTTCCAGGGCGCGGTATGCGCTAACCGAATTCGATTGGAATTCGTTTTGTACGCCGCTCTGTAAATAGAACTATGTCGCGACTCTAAAAATAGCACTGATGTTTCTTGCAAAAGTGATGGAGGGTAGCCTACATTCACATTACAAATCACAAACATACTTCATATATACTTTAAGTGCCATGGTAAGTCGGCGTTAAATTCTGGCCTAAATATAAAATCAAATCTAGACCTAGGTAGGTAGTCTGCCTATCTTTTTTTATCCTCGCAAACGGCTGGTTACTCACAATTTTCTGAGGCTACTTTCTACTATGTCCCGTACTGTGTATACTATGCAGCAGTGACATTTTCTTTACTGTAAGTTCTACTGTAGGTCCTCCGAATCGAGAGATGTATATTTGGTTGACTAGTAAAATTTAGATAAAGACAATAACTTTGATTTATTATTTAACTGATCGAACTACAGAGTGCTCTTTCAAAGAAAACTGCAGCGATCTTTAGGTCGAGTCTTAGGTGCAGAGAGCAGGGCCCAGAACCATGTGCGTAAACAAGTAGAGTACTGGGCAATTTAGAACTGTCCATTTTCAAACGGGGTATAACATTTTTTTTTTTTAAGAATTACTTATTTTTAGTTGTTTTTCTTTATCTCTTTTATACATTGAACGCACCACATTTATGTGTGCCGCTGATACAGAAGTGTATGTTCAGTTGAATAAATAAATAAATTACAGTAATATTGCGAGTTGTTAGTAAAACCTTTACTGGGTTGGCAATGGTTTAGCCTTTTTAGCATGTTTGTATGTCGAAATTCGCGGTGAAATTCGGCATAAAAAAACGTGTTTCGCATGAAATTCACGTAAATTCAATTAATAAACATTGTTTTATAAAATGTAAATATAATTTAGCTTAGTATAATGCAAAATTTCATCTACTTTGATCATGGACGTTTTCGGAGCATGGGTTTTCTCTTAGCAAAGAGAGCAATTAATTGCTGTGCTGGATGTTACCACAGCTGCACAGGATGGTGATCGCGCTTCTTCGCTTGGCCAGCGACTCCAGCTGCGACTACATCGGAAATAACTAAAAAAAAATTGTATTTTTTAACGTTATATTTGTTCATCGACTCGTAAAATCACTGCATATTGCGAAAGTCTCACCTATGCACGGTACTAGGCCTACTGAACGTCGACGTCCCAGTACCCAACCGACTATTTTTTTAGCATCGACCAGGGACTTCCCCTAGTTTACGTACTTCTGTCAGTTCTTGCACACACAGGCGGCGTACAAAGAGACGTTTACCTGCTAGTGAACGTCTCTTTGTCCGTACTTATGTATAGGGCCGCACAGTCAGTCGTATTATGATTCATTTTAGAGAGTCGTTTGGACGCGTTTTACGGTGCATCCAATCGGCCATAGTTAAAGGGGAGGAGCAAAGGCCAAAACGGAATATCAGCGTCCAAACGGTGTGCTATTCAAATGGTGTTTTCAGACGCGTTTTGGTAGAATAGAAAACGCGTCTGAACGCTGATTTGTCGTCTGGAATAATTTGTCGGTCGCGCCTTATGTTAAATTCAAGTCCATCAAAATAAATAAATTATTAATAAATAAATAACCATCAATCTGTTTAAACCATTTACCCTCCTTCTAAAATCTCATTATCCTCCCACTCATTTTACATGCTAATTCTAAGACAGTTAAATCATTTTCTACTAATATTCACCTTCTAAAATCCATTTCCTAATCCTTACTTTCCTTAAACTCTTTGAAACAGTCAATTTCAATTTTTTCCTAACCTTTGCTGCCCCCAAGTTGTTTGCAAATTCCTCTAAGAGTATAAAACTGCAAGAGATCCGACTGCCATGATTTTGTATACAGGCAATGGAACGTTAAAAAGTACAGCCACGAAATAGGGGGTACCCTATTTGAATTTGAACAGAGTTCATGCAACACATGTTTGATCACCGAACGCCTTTTAAGGGCACGCCCCTTTTTGGAAGTACTTTTTGAAATAGGATTGCGTTCCAATGAAACCACAGCAGTCGGACCTCTTGCAGTTTTGTTAAAACCCTTTTCTTACAAACACAATCTAAAATCCTTCCCTAATCCATCCTCCAAATTTATCTTCATTATTCCATAATCCAGTTTCCTCCTATTTGACCTACCTGGTACTGAGGTTGATGTGTTGGACTGTGATCGGCAACCATAGTAAAGTCTTCAAACTGTTGCTGTAGAACTCGTGAATATGTATCCGATAGCGCTGGTGATGCACAGCCAACTGACCCTGGCGGCCCAGGGGAGGCTGCAGGTGAGAGGTTGGGGTTAGATACAGGGGAAGTTGGAGATGAACATGATGTTGTAGGCATAACATTTGATGTGTCTCTATACTGTTGCATACCAGACTAAACATGAAATTTGAAAAAATAAAATTTTATAAAAATTCTTCTTTATTTAACAAAACAATGCTGAACTTTTCACAATATAAACAGATGAGCTTAACACAGCTGCGAGAAATAATGATACATTTATCAAGTACAGGATGATCAAATCATTATTATAATTATTGTTCATTATTTATTATCATTATTATTATTTGACCATGTATTTACAATATCAAATGCTGTTTGCATAACATTTTTGGAAAAATAAATCAGAAATCTAAGTTGGGGTCATTGTGTGCCGGATGTAATACATTTAATGACAAACCTTCTTGTAGTTTCAACTGTACTTGATTATGTCAAATGTCAGGGCATATAAACAAGCGGGCATGTGGCTTGTGGAATTGCCTAACAGTATGTAGCAGACAAACACAAAAACCAATATTCAGCAGCTTGTTAACAAAATTCTATAGATACAGATTATCTATATATAATTTGTGATATGCATTGACCTTTAAAGTTCATACTAGAAGATGGTTTAGTGCAAGAAGACGTACCTTATCGAGAGATAATATGTTACTAGAGTGCTGAGGTGACTGTGGTGGTTGGTTTTGAAAAACTTGATACTTGGGTGTATTCTGGTCCATCACCAGTCCCCCTGAGTCTTGCATCTAAGCAGAAAGTAATCAAAGACAGTTTAGGCTTTTTATATTTTTAAAGGAAATGTTGAATATATTGATGTGGAAGTTGTGAAAAAAATATCTAAAATGCAATTTCTTTTTTCTCTTTTATCTAATGCATGTTTTGTCTGACAGATTCAATTAAAATGTCTTATCCGAATTTACATAATTTCTATTATGTTCTATGAATTAGTGTAATCCACTGAATAGAATAAATGTTGAGTTAATTTAATAATGTTCAGCAGGGGTGAATACAAGAAGTGTTGGCTCGAGCGAGCCAATTCCCACTTTATAAAAAAAAAAAAAATAAGGATTACTAATAAATATTACTATTAATATAATAATTAATGAAATCTTACTTGTATATGCCCTTGGTTACGATGTCCTAAAGAGATTGCAACTGGATTTGTTTTATTTCGACGCTGAATCTGCGGACTTATTGCGGGACTCATCTGTGGGCTACGTGGTTGTGGGCTATGTGGCTGGGGTGATGACGGACTTGGCGACATGCCAAGAATCTGTACGGTATTTGCACGGAGGTTATTAGTGCTACTGTGGTTGTACATTGTCTGGTCATCATTGTCTAAGGGTGTCATCAACGGCGGGGGGATGTGTATATTTGTCAGGTCAGGTAGCGAGCCCGTGTTTTGGATAGGAATCGGCACGGGTCCTGTTTCTTGTTCTGAAGGATATATGCTGAAAAATAAATAAAATAATTGTTATAGAACCCAAAAATTCATAGTAAACCAATCTCTATACTTGCAACATATTAGCCAGTTCGCCCAATTATGCAATACAGTATTATACGCTATGCCATGTACAAGTTAATTCCCAAGAATTTGTAAAGACCAACTTTGTGAAGGTATTCTGGGAACAGGACGAGCATACAGTACACAGGATATAACTAGCAACACATTGGAATACAAATATCCATGTAGTTAGCAGTTACATTGTTGAAAAAACAAAAATGTGTTAAGCTTAGTCCAGATTTAATATGATAAATATCATTGATTTGCCCATATATGGGGAATTATGTTAGCCTCATGCAAATGTTATAGTGTAGACAGAGGATAAGTCATGTTAATTTTAAAAAGGTATCTTTAAACTCTTACTCCACAATTTAAAATTAATTTATTTAAATCAAGTTTATTAAATTTTGAAATCCCAAACATGTGACACTTGATTTCAATATATTTCTATAGATACACTATCCAGGCATACAGTATAGACACCTTGTATTACTTGTTTGTGCATTTAATCTTATAATTTGAAATTTGTGTATAAATAATCAAAACAGGTCTATTTTTGTACATACATGCATTAAAGTATATTGTGTTTCTCAGAAAAAAATGTGAAAAAAAAACCACTGTAAACTAATACGCTTTATTTAGTTATATAATTTTAGAATTACGTATCAATGATGAAAAAAGCTATAGTCTCCATTACTCGCTGAATTACATAGTTGGCCAAAGGCTACGCACTTCAAGCTAGCACTTTCAATATCATAACCAAATTTAAATTGAGCACAACTAAAACTACATGCAGTGAGTTAGAAATAAGGTTTCTAGGCCAAAAGAAGAAAAGACAATCAAAAGTTGAACAAATGACCTGGATAAACTGAGTGAGAGCACTTGGCCTCTGTGTCAGAAATGTTCGTTACAGCAGAATGAGAGGGCAGTATTACTTACTTTATTCCAGGCACTTCACACGACTTGGGACGATTCTGCAGCTGTTGACAATGAGTAAAAGAATGTTTAAATTAGAAAAAAGCTTTGAATTATTAAGAGGCAAAAATTCTATGATCCTACCACAATTTAGTTCAACATGCCTGGCTGTCCATCATTTTATTTGGAATATAGTATAGATGCTTTTGGAACCAAAATATTGTATCCATGATAAAGGTGACCCAAAGGAATGATTTAAATAACAGTACATACAAAATAATTATCCAAACTCACTTTTTTTGTATCCCAAAGACCACTTTTACAATTACCATCCATGCCACCCTGTTGTTCAAAATCTGTAAATTAAGCAGAAAATTTATCAACTGAATTGTATCACAAAAAAAAAAAAAAAAAAAATCCTCTCTTAAAATTGCAGTGTTCTCCCGAAGCCATTTTAGCCGTCAATTTTACCAGTAAAAATAACCAGCCAACCAGTAAAAATTTTGAGTTTATAAGATAAAAAAAAAAAACAAATGAAAGGCCTAAATGGTCAAGGCTAGCTATGTTTCAATAAAGGAATATTATTGAAGTGGGTTATATGTTGTTTTGAATGGAACTCTTTCCGAGAGATTTTCAGCGATGCCTAACCGCGCCCACTTTCTTTTGTCGGAAACATCGCCCCCCCCCCCGCTGGGCAAATCCTGGCACCGTCACTGCTCACACTGCGCACATAGCTGAATTTGTATATTTTACCAGTAAAAATGTTCAATTGGGCGAACTTCTTGAGTGAATTACACCCACAGACTAAAAATGCAAGTATTAACTGACTGCTAATTAGGACTATTCTACACAGAGGCCTAGCAATACCGAATGATTGGACCAGAGCAAGCTTTTTACCACTAAATAATCTAACCTAATACCAAAATATAGACAAAGCAAAAATACAATAAAATTATCTCTTCTACCAAGCTTAAAACAGTTTACTTAAATCACAGGTGACATTATTATATTATTTGTAATTAAGGCCTTTATATTTTTGTAAATGCAATAATTTTAGCCTTTGGCTACCTTTTGTATTATTTTTATACCTGAATAAAATAAAAATAATTATGTTTCTGAGACTTCACTGTGCAAAAAATGCACCCTCTGTAGTTTCCATTTTTTTCCAAGTCTGTTAATCGGTAACCCACATATGAATTTGAAAGCATACTTTAGTTCATTATACTATTAACATTTTTTATATTGAGCCACACATAATGCAGAATTTCCGTTCCAGATGTCTGAAGATAAGAAGTAGTCATGCATGAAAATTACTTCAAAGTTAAGGGGTGGGGTTATACCTAAATGAGATACTACAGTAAATTTACCATACTAAAATAAACAAATTTAGAAAATTAATATCAAACTACAATAATATTAATAATAATAATAATAATAATAATAATAAAAACAATAATAATTATGAAAATCAAAATAATCACTTAAAAACAATATTATCTGAACCACAGTACAAAAAATATTAAAAATTAATAATAATACTAACTACATAATAATAATAATAATAATAATAATGATATTAATAATATTTTATAATAATCAAAATAACCACTTAAAAACAATAAGAATTATTACAATCACAATAATAAAATATAATAAAAACAATAACAATAATACAATAACGATAATAATGATAATGGTAATTATTAACATAACATTATTAATAATAATAATAACAATAACAATAAATTACAATAATAATAATGAAATTCAAATCAAAAAAAAAAAAAAAAAAAAAAAGGGTACAGAATAACTTGCATAAGCTCATTCCCCTGAACATTATCATGCCAACATCTATGGTGTTAATATATTGATATATTTTTTTAGCATCTATTAATACTTGTTAAGTACTCATGGCATTTTGAAGCAATTCAGACAGCCAGTAGAAGATTATCATAGAAATCAAGAATGCTAATGTAGATGGCAGAAATTGTCATTAAAAAATTAATGCAGCGTATATAAGATGGAAAACTTTTGTATTATAAATTGCCTAATAATATATTAACTTAAGTAATTACTATTCTAATGACATACAGTCAATGAAAAATTGTCAGAAAATATAAATTTAAAAAAAGTTCACTTAGCAAAATATAGACGACATTAGATCAGGGGTCCTCTCTGTTAGATAAGCTTGGACCCAGTCATCGGATGGCACTTGACATTATTCATGCCAATCCAACCAATCCTGAATCAAAAAACATCACATTCACCCCATACACCTGAGGCCCTAAGATGTTCACTTGTTTCGGACTCTTGTCGGACCCGGAGCTGACAACTGAAATACATTTATGTAGCTAGCATAATGGTAGATCTTGGCTCTCAAAGTAAACACCTGCAGTGATTTTCTCAATGGAGCCCATCAATGATAGCCAAGTGTCTTCCGAAGAAAACGTATACTACTACAATAACAACAAAAGTTCCACTGTTTATTCTCAAAAAGTATAATACATACTCCAAGCATTGTAATACATGCGATCGTGTTGGGATTTAATATTTTGACACTAATTATGTCATCATCAGGAATTCCTGATGATGACATAATAATAAATAACATGATGGCTTGTGTTTCGATACTTGGGAATATTTATTATACTTTCTATCAGCAACAGTAAACATAGTCTGCCAGCCTCAAAAGATAACTTTGATTTTAAAACGCCAATGGCTAAACCACCCTTGTTAGAAATTTTAACAATATATTACTGAATAATATTAACAATATGTATATCTTGCCAAAGCAACAGGGGCCACATTTATCAAATTAGAAATCAGTTTAAATTCGTCTTAAGTCCATTTTTTTGCTTAAAGTCAAATTTATCCATATTGCTTAGCTTAAAAATTGCTTAAAAATTAGAAAGTCGGTTGTACGTTGGCACGATTTTTAAGCAAAGATTTTGCTAAGATTGGGTAATAAATCAGCTTAAGATATTTATTAGGGACATCTTAACTTTTTTGACTTAAGACATTTGCTAAGCTGAGATTAATAAATCCCGGACCTGTTCTTTAATAGTATGCTAATGTTTGAACTATAACTTGAAGCTTCACTGCTAACATAATTGTAAACAGAGCAGGGAAATGAGAAATCAATACATAAAATCAAACATACATTCACAAAATTAAGGCAGGTTATGCAAACATTATAATCAATATCAAATATGTTTAAATGATATGAGATATAGGGTAACCTATTTAAAGTATGGTGCAAGTATCTACTAACCATTGATTATTTATCCTTACTACAATATAATTACCTTTCCCACCACCCATTAAACACTCATTCACCAGCTTTCCAAGAGCTAACCCAAATGTATATCAAGTGTCTTCTAGAATATAAATGTTATTAGTGGGCCTACTTAGAAAAAGGCAACTAATTGCTAACGTATATGTAATATTAACATGGCATCATTATCTACCCCTAAGGCATTAGCTAATATTATATTGACTTTTATATCAGTACACAGTATGATGCTATTTGTGACCTACTCAATTTCTTTATCATCACTACTAGCATGTCTTGAGACTACTAAACCACTATAGTTTCAACCACTGTTGCTTATTTTATCAACTGCTACTGTTACTATATTACCAGATTGCTACTGCCACTATCCCTACCATTGGCATATCTACGGGAGGGCGCGGGGGTGTGGGAGCACCACCAAGAAATTACTCGTGCCCCCCCTTCAGTCGTCCCCACCAATAATCACGGTCAAGTAGTTTAAAATCACCTAAAATTACCATATTTTGCGAATTAGCTCCCCCTTATCTGATCATTGAGCACCCCCGCTTCACCTTCGCGCCTCCATCAGCTCCCCCATTTCAAGACCTCTAGATACGCCACTGATCCCTACTGATACTATCGCTGCTAATATATATCTACTATAGCTGCCATTATCAACACCTACTACTACTAGTATAACTACCAGCGTTATTATTATTATTACTAATTATCATTGAGTATTATAACACACCTAAATATTAGATTCCTGTCATTTGAATGGGGGCTTTCGTATCATGTGACATTGGTTATTTATCCCATTTTGTCACTCATCGTTGAAATTTATTTCCATCCGTGCATTTTTTTCCCCTTCGTCTTTTTCCAATGCACATGCCTAGGAAACGAAATGACTTCAATCTAATACAATCTTTTGATTTGTTAAACAGATGCGGGACTGAATTTTTCCGGAAGGTTAAAAAATCTATAAAATAAAGTCATGTCACCTATAGGGCCTAGGCCTACTTCTTGTTGAACTTTTCTTAGTGGTGTGCAATGTATCACAGATTTTGTTTGTAAATGCTAAATACTGGTACAGTGAGGGAAAGTTAAAAAGTACTTTGAAGAGAGAATTCAAAAGTACATCTAGAGGCCTACTCCACCGCTTGGAATGGAACTTAAGGCTAGACTATGCCAAGCCAGGAGAGGCGAGACCTGGAAAGACTAGGCCAGGCTGCTGTTGCAGTTAAAAAGCTTGTAGTTTGATCTTGGGCCTAGGCTCGCGGCTCCTGTTCATGGACACCAAAAACAAAAAAACAAACGAACAAAAACAAAGTTTTAAGATGTTTCATAAAATATCAAATGACGAGGATCTATTTAGGTGTGTTAGAAATCTGCCTCGTTGAATGGAACAGTCACTCTTTCAACTCATGAAAATATTCTTCCCATTGCACTCATAGGCCTAAATATTCATTATTTGTATACAAGTGCTACCACTACTATTAGTACTGCTATATCACCACAATCACTACTACTACTTTTGTTGCCACTAACACTATTATGGCTTTCAATGCTACTAGTGCCATTGAGCAATATTAACACCACAAATTTTACCATCACTATTGCTACTGCGATCATCACCATGCCACTTTTGCTGCCATTGAACAATATTATCAAACTATTGCTACTGCTTTTATCACCACTACTGCTACTTTCGTTGCTATTATCAGTATTATGGCTATGCTAATATTGCTGCTGAGATTGAGCAATATTATCACCACAATTTTTACAAGTACAGCTGCTACTACTATTAGCACCAATACTGCTACCACCGTTGGTTTAATTCACTACTTCCATTAACAAATAAAGATTATGCTATTTTTACCAGAAAACATTGGCACATCTCTAGGTCGGACTGGAGCAGTCTGGGGTGCAGGATACGAGGTATCTCCTCCCATAGCTGTTATATGCAACGATGAATCCGAATGTGTCCTGAATAAAAGATAAAATGATGCAAACAACATTAATATTTTTCATGAATCAAATTTAACATTTTAAAATGAGTATCTTAAAAAATGTTGTCAGGTTATTGGCAGTTAAGATGACATAAAGCGACAAATGTAAATCTGTCCAAGTTATACTGAATTCATCTCAAATTGTTCTTATTATTACTTATGGTTATCAGTAGTTAATTAAAACAAACCAAAAGAATTAAAAAAAAAAAAAAAGACAACTGTTTTTATGATTCATCTGTTACTTCTGAATCAATTTCCCTATCTTATATCTTGTTTCATTCTCATTTATTAAAGTTCAAATTGTATCACAAAAAATCATAGTTGTAGGTATACAAGTCTTCTCTTAAAATTGGGTAGATTTTGAGAGTGGATTATATCCCTAGACTAATGAATGCAAGTACTGACTACAATAACTGCTAATTAGGCCTATCCTACACAGAGGCCTAGCAATACCAAATGACTGAGCCAGAGCAAGCTTTTTACCACTAAATAATGTAATTTATGACAAAAATCTATACAAAGCAAAAGTATCTAAATATGTAGTTGTACATTATTACAATAAAATTACTTATTACAACAAGCTTAAATTAACTGATTTAAATAAACTATTTAAATCATAGGTCAAATCATGTTTCTCAGCCTTCACCTTGCAAAAAATGTACTCTATAATAGTTTAATTGACTAACACACACATGAATTTGAAAGCAATTTATTTGATACTTTAGTTCATCATACTATTAAGATTATTATTAACATCTTGTATTTGGTTTCATTCAAATATACGTACAACTTTTCTTCTTTTAATAGTCCAGGCATAAACTAGTAAGTTCTATCTACACTATAAATTTGTGTGAATTGTCTATATATTGGCATGAAAATGACATTATCACATCCATATGTGATCATGATGATATGATATCATACCCATTTATAATAAATCTGTACTTAAGAAATCAGACATCATTATTAAAGATCTTTCCCACCCTATGCATCATGAATATACATTAAACAGATCTGGTCGCCCACACTATAAAAAGTGCAACACTAATAGATTAAGAAATTCATTCACTCACAACTCAGTATATCTACTGTATAATAAAACTTTGATAGATTATTATTACCCATTTGCAATACCCTGTGCTATATTTTTGTGCAGTTTACCCATCTTGTATGTGTATATATAAAATGAGTACAAATGCACAAAGTAGAGTCGTATACGTTGACATAATAGACATAAGATAATTTTTTATTTCGAATATTTCGAGCACGCCTGTGGTCTTCCTCAGCGATAACACGGATGATTAAAAAAGCTTTACAAACTAGCAATAGGGGATAAACAATATAGCAGTGACTAAGATAAATCGTAAATGATATGTATAATTAGGCCGGATTATAAAGGGCGGTAACAATAAAGAAAATAAAGATAAACGAAAGGGCTAATCAGTCGAATGTAGGCCTATCATCTCACTAGCCTGAGCCAATGAAAATGAAACATAACAAGTTAAATAGTATATAAAGGATGAATAAAATATATCTAGATGGGTGAATGCATTGATTAATAAAAAGTGTAATCTGTGAGAAATCCTAAATCTTTATTGACGCCATTTTTGTGAGTATTTAATTTTAAGATCCATTTCAATTCGCAACAGCGTCTGTCGGTGAGGGAATTAAAACCTGTACTTATGTAAATTATT